TTTTTTGGTGGTGACTAAAACTTTCTCGCATGCTTGTAGTTTTCGGCTTAAATACGCCACTGGATGTTCCACGTCATCCTCACCTATTTGACTCAGCACTATCCCTGTGAGAATTTAGGGTAAACATTATCTTACACTAACACAGATGACAGAGAAACTAAAACTACATAGAGATTTCAATCACCACTTTGTTAAGAACAATTACTGTCTTACCTGTGACTCCAGCAAATCGATACACGAGTTAAGGTCGAGACCTGTAGTGTTGCCTGCAAGAATATATATATATATATAGTAAATTTTGCTTAGGTATATGACAGTTATTTAATATGGTTTATTTTTACTTCATTGAAAAACACTCTGCAATATTACATCTGTGATTCAAATGAAATAACTGGGAGGCGAGGAATATATATATATATTTCTCTGTCAAAATATTTCCTAATAAATGTACTTCATAGAACATTTTCAAATATTTTGTATTTTATATTGTTAGAAATAGTGCATAAGAAAGTCAGAAATTCCAGCAATTAATAAAGATATTTACAATTTTAAATTTAAACAAGATAACGTATTTGCTATTGCTATTCAAGATCTGTTTTGGTTTGGTATTGTTTGAACTGAACTGTAGATAGTGCCTCCCAATAGAACATATTATTAGTCTCGCCGTCATTATATTTCAATGTATGTTCCCTTAAATTTGGTCATGAGTAGATTACCCAATACCATTTAAAATAATTTGAATACAAAACTCTAATTTCTGTCAATTTAATATTTAAAAGTATAACGAACAACACAGTTAACTGAAGAGAATCAAACAACCACTTGAGAACAAACCGAAATAACACTATTTTTTTTTTCAAAAATATTTTTGTTTCTCTCTGTTTTGTACAAGTAAATGGTATTTGTTTAACTTATCTCAAAATGTTGTGCGCATTTTATTGTTACATATATATGTTTATTAAGTTTCTCAAGAGGTAGAAGAGATATTTTATTGTGCATATAAGCATAAAAGGTACTACATAGTTCGAAAAACAAAAGTCATTCAAACCAAAATTACATAATTATCAAAACTTATAGTAAAATCTTACATGACACTTCAGTATCTTATTATTAAATTTCAGGTACATTGATATAGTTTTTCAAACGGAAGTGTAAACAATCCAAGCTGTCCTGCACTTGCATTTCTGACTCCTGCATCCCATTTTGCAGCCACAGAATATTGCCTTGATATAATATTCTGGTAGTGTTGGTAACGATATTAGCTGAAGCATCAAATATCCATTTTCATTTTTACATTCCTAATAATTGTGGTAGGGAAAACGGTTTAATATGTGATCCTGTCTCCAAACTAAGACCTGATAATAGTTTTTTGTATGTGTAACATCTCAGTATCACTTGTCAGGGGTAAGGCTTGTGATGACCTCAAGAGTGTAAACAAAATGGCATGTGCATTATTCGTGCTGTGTATCTCTGACAGGCCATACACTTTAGAAATAAGCTCCTCTGTACATTTCAACTTTCCTGGAGTAAGGTCATTGTCTCCAAAGCTCATCAGAAGCTGATGGTGTTACTTAAACTCCTTCAATGTCGTCCTCTTCCTGTAGATAGCAATGTAAAACGTTGTATCACAGCCAATCACGCATGAAATGGAAGAAAAGTTTTCAAAACTGCAGGTGTGAATTGTAAATTTTCACAAATTTCATGAATAGGATAGTACTTAGGTTTCTTTTATGTGCCAACTTTCATCCAAATCTATGTAGATACCACTTTTTTAAAGTGAGCTGGCAAACGAATAAGTACCTTGCACCTCAGAGACTATTGCTTATCAGAGTCTTCATTATTATCATTGTTCTGAAGAACTGATTGGTCTTTATGCAGCAGGCAGAGGAACATCTACAAACTGTCAAGAATGCAAGCAATTACATCTTCTTCACTCACATTGAAACCTTCGTAATCAGGGTATGTTAAAATATCTCCACATTGAAACCTTCGTAATCAAGGTGTGTTAAAATATCTCCACATTGAAACCTTCGTAATCAAGGTGTGTTAAAATATCTCCACATTAAAACCTTCACATTGAAACCTTCGTAATCAAGGTGTGTTAAAATATCTCCACATTGAAACCTTCACATTGAAACCTTCGTAATCAGAGAGATCTGTAACGTCGCCCTGCTTTAACGATTCCGAACTTCAGAGAGATCTGTAACGTCGCCCTGCTTTAACGATTCCGAACTTCAGAGAGATCTGTAACGTCGCCCTGCTTTAACGATTCCGAACTTCAGAGAGATCTGTAACGTGCCCTGCTTTAACGATTTCAAGCTTCAGAGAGATCTGTAACGTCGCCCTGCTTTAACGATTTCAAACTTCAGAGAGATCTGTAACGTCCCTCTGCTTGGCTGCACGTTGAAGTTCATTTTGTAGCCATAACATTGCTGCGTCAGAAACTTTATGCTCTTGTCTCTTTTTCATCACAGACTCCATGGATATGAAGTAACGTGTGAGATGTTATTCCCATCAGAAGCAATAAGGTCATTAACCACAGCTAACTGAATAGTCAATTTGTAATCAAGTTCAGTAGTCCTCATTATTTATTCACTCATTTTGAATGTATTTACAGAAATAAGTGTCTGTTTGTGCTGCACTCTTTGACAAAACACACAGTATTCCCAGTCTACATATTAAATAGAACTAGAATATTGTTGTTTTACATGCACTGGTATTTTTCCTGAGGTCACTAATCATGGCCAGATCTGATAAATCAGTTGCAGAAAGTTTTGCTTTATGAAGCCTCTGGATTTTGCCTTCGGATATGTAATATTCATAGCAATTTCTGTGCCATATTACTGAATCAGTATGCTCTGAACTAAGATGGACTCCATTCTGTCGATGGCCTCTCTGTATTTAAGAACTTGCAGTTTCTTTCTCATAGCTGTTGTCTCCTTCATTGTCTTTAGTCTTTGTTAACCTGATTCACGTATATCTCCTTTACTTCATTCAGCCTTTCAGTGGCACAGCTGTATGTCTGCGGACTTACAACGCTAGAAACCGGGTTTCGATACTCGTGGTGGGCAGAGCACAGATAACCCATTGTGTAGCTTTGTGCTTAACTTCAAACAAAATAAGTACTTCATTCTTGGACATATAATGCAAAGGCTGTGAAAAACTGGCAAGTGTGTTTTGAGACTAATTACTAAAACACTTTACTGTGTTAATTCTACGCCAACTACAACGTCAAAAAACATTCACGTTATTTACTAATTTTACCTCTTCTTTAACAAAAAGCATTTGCTTAACTTTTCACTGTCACTGTTATAGTTATGAAGAATATTTTCTATAAAACAATGAATATGTAAATGTATTAAGAAATGAAGTAATTAATAATTTACAAAATATATGAATAAACGTTGAAATCAATCAATAAATAAATACGTATGTATCTAATTTTATTACCATGTTTATTGATCAATTTATTTTTAAATTTATGTATATCTGTATATATATATTTGTTCATTTCAGTAAGCATATATTTATTTTTATTACATTTGATCGATAATCTTTTATTTAAATTTTATTTTTTATTTTTACATTCATGTATTCATATATTTCAAGATTTATTTTTACAATTATTAACTTTTATATCAAGGATCAAAGAGTTAAAATAACGCTTATTAACAAGCAAGTTTGGACTCAGTAGGTCCAAGTTATGTTAAAAACAACTGCTGCCGACCTTTAACAAAAAATGCAACTTAAACTCTTAAAGAAGGCTGATTATCAGTTTACAATCCAGTCCAATATTAATACAGATATGTTTAGTGTCTTAACCTTCTTCCATTATCACTTTACTTAGAAATATATTCTTTAATTGCAAGAGGCTATAAGAAATACATTTAATCACCCATAAAAGTTATAGTATTTATTTTATCTACTTCAATAACTGTACATTGTAAGTTACTGAAAATACAATCAAAAGATATTCACTCCATTATTATACATATAGAATACGTATTTTTGTGACCACGAATGATTACAACCAGTTCTTTTTTTTTGTATTTTAATCTTCAAAATACTTACCACACAGGCCATTGAAAGCACGAATGACCCTTCTCAAAGCTCGTCGATGGTTACCTGGTCTTACATTTTGTCCATTAACAAAAATTAGCAAAATGACGACACAGACGATTGCAGCTATCAAACCTTTCATCTCGAAAAGACCGTTCTTTGTATGCTTTCTATCGAAGAAAGAACTGGAGTTTCATTTTCCCGCAGTTCTATTTATACAAAAAACCTAACATTTTTTTATTATAGTTCATGATAGTGTTGTTAAGCACACAATACATTATGTCACCTTTTAGATTTCAAGCACGTATATCATGTTGTAAAGACATGTTTCCGTTTGTAGCGGATGTGTTTTTTACATGTATTCCAAGATCTCAAATTTAGCTGTAAAGAAGTTGTATTATTGTTTAGAGTGGGGCGTTCGTTTAAAATGGACAAGCTTTCTTTGATGAGAAGTTCCGTGTTGGATGAACCTGTCAAAATTACTTTAAAATTGTTAATCAGAATAGGGTGGTTGTTATTTTCACTGTTTAAGCAGATTGCTTTTTTGTTATTTCCTGTTAACATCCTATTGGTTGTTGTTGTTTTAAATTGTTTGTTTATTTCTTTCGCCTTATGCTACTATAAATGTTCCAACTAAATGATTATGTGAATTTAATGCTATCGGTTAACTAATACAGTCGCTGAAGATGGAATGTGAATATTCCGAAACGTCCGAAAAATAAACGTACATTACCAAAAAACAAAGTGCCTAATGTTTGTTATTACCTTCGTTCTGCTAATTAGTAATAAATTCCCATTCCCATCGAACGAATCTGTTGTCTTCATTGTTCTTTACAATTTGCCAGTCCGGAAACATTGGGTGTCGTCACGAATTGTAGCTAATGGCATGTTTCGAAATTTTTCACAACAGGTTAAATGGAGTATGTAATGAGCTTAGATATATATACGTTTTACATGTTTCACAATGCTTTCTTTTGATAAATTTAGTCGCTTCAGCAAAGTCCATTTTGTGAATAAACATCCGGAAGAGCGAACAGATCGCGGAAACTCTACAATGGCTACAGTTCTGGTTGGTCGGTTCTTATTAAGAGGAGTCCATTAACAATGACTTCATATGTTGATGAATCAGTTGGAGAGAAGTGGAATATAATGACCGGACTATTCGTATTGGAAACTATACAGCTTTTTAGCTGAATTTAGCAGACCAATTTTTCTTCAATTCCTAAAACTACACTTCTCAGCTGATATGTCATAAGTGTTGTTACTTAATATGAACCTACTTGTTTTCATATCACAACATTAGACATTTATGAAAACGAACAGATAAATGTGTTAATAAAAATTAGCGTTAAATAACAGCGCACAGAAAATGTGAGATAAATTTTAATATTATCACTATAATTAAGACAGGTCTTTATTATAGTCAATATCACTAGTTTTCTTAATGTTATATCTCTTGTGCTGCTTTCGATACACAAAGCATCGATTCTGTACTTCGAATTTAGACTCCTACCAATAATATACGACACGATTGTTTCTATAGCATGCATGCTTAACAAAAAGATTTTCACATTGTTTAATTTTCAATCGATCAGGGGTGGCTCGGCATGGCCAAGGTGGGTAGGGCGCTCGACTCACAATCTGGGGGTCGCGGGTTCGCATCCCCGTCCCACCAAACATGCTCGCCCTTTCAGCCGTGGGGGTTTTAT